AAAAATAGGTGTCGTGGTTTTAGTTCAAATTTGAACACTTATTTTGGATCAAAGGGGGTAGCTTATAAGGCCAACAATGTGGCAATCACAAGCACATTTCACTAGTCGGAGTTTCACTTCCTTAGGTTATGGTTTTATGTATGTTGACATGCTAGCAACCTTTATATTATGTGTGTTCACATGCTAGCAACTTTAATATTTAAGTACCTCATAGTGCTGAAACTTTGTGGATTCTGTTGAACCATGACCTTTGTTTTCTACAAGAGCAGGGAACTTTATATGATCCCTGCAAGGTGTTCCCATAGCTGGGTCTATCTCATGGTCTCTGCATGGTATGAACAGAAGTTAGTAGCCGGTGTGGAGGAAGTAGGGAAACGGGTAAAGAATTAACTTACGTGCAGTAAATGATGAGTCTTTTAGATAGGTTTCTTTCCGATAGAAACCAAGCACGTATACCCCTGTTACCATACTTAAAGCATATCTCCCTGTGAAACATAAATATACGTGATGAGAAGAATTCAACCATGCAGAACCAAGAATCCACAAATTAAGGAAAGGAAAATCATCCCAGATGAATACTGCACCATACCTTGGCAAACAATCTAAGTGATATGACTTTGGACAACGTCTGCAGCCAGCAAGCCACATTGCTCTTTCAGTCCCTTCCTCCATTTTTTTACAATCAGGTCTGGAGCACCAATGTACAGGACATGGAAATGGCATCCCAGCTGCAATCTTGTTCTCCAACTCACAGGCTCCATTACTGTCAGACTGAAGTAATTCTGCAGCGCACTTGGGGTGGTAGAAGTGGCCACAAAACAGTTTACAACATTGAAAGACCTGACAACATACAGTTTCCAAACTTAGGACTAGAAGAGGCAAAGATACTTGAAGCGCATTATTATGGTTTTAATGATCAGTAGGGCACAGGATGTAACAAAGATGAATAACTACACAAGCAGCATTTTGCCATTCCCAAGACAAGAAGAAAGGGCACAGGAAAAGAAATCAGGAAACCAAAAACCGATATTCTCTACCACAGGTAGTCTTCTAAGGAAGAAACAATATGTCACCTTGGCATTAGGCTCATGAGACGAGTCGAGTTCTCCACATTTGAAACATTGGTGTTGTTCATATCTACAGTTTTCGCATATGAACTTATTCATTTCCTGTAAATATGTAAAAATGAGCGTAACTAATATGTGACAACAAAATGAAGTGATAAAGCTGAAGTATCAGTCAGTAAAAACTTCAGAAAGCCACCTTTACTTGTACAGCAGTGTAACCAAGTGTTACACATTTAGACTTTCTGCCAGCTTCTATTGTAGGATGGAAGGCTCTCTTGCATCGACCTTTACAGCTGCATCAAAGCATTGTGTTAAGCGTCAGGTGGAGTTACGAGATTTATGTCAGCTAAAATACCATGATAATTCGACATAATAGATTATGTAGGTCACTTCACACAAAATGAATTATCCATGAAATGGTGGATGGTAACAAGGTAACATCAAATGGTATGAGGATCAACCCCTTGACAAGTTTACACATTCTTCTCCAACATTAGAAACAGAAAACATAAAAGAACAGATAGGGAGGGCGAAGAAACCTGCTCAATACTCCCTCCGTTCCAAATTACTTGTCGCGGATATGGATGTATCTAGATGCATTTTAGTTCTAGATACATCCATTTCTGCGACGAGTAATTTGGAACGGAGGGAGTACATTCTTAAGATAAGAAGAAGCAACAAGAGACTTAGGTTTAAGAAGCAACAAAAAGCATGAACACACAGGAAATAATTAGCTACAGAAAGCATAATGCACCAGATTAAATTATAATAAAGTTTGAACACACATAACCTACACCAGATGCAAAGTCTTCAGAAAAACATAGCGCCAAAGTTTGCTGTTCTTGAGATCATTAGGATCCAAAGAAACAAAGAAGGGCTCAGAACGAGAGCAAATATAGTACAGATTAGTATTCTCGTACCAACAAACATGAAGGTATAATCTAAACTAACTATCAAACATATGCTTGCAAGGATAGCTTCAATAACGACTCGCACAAATGCATGTTAAATAGGACACTACAACACTATTAGAATAACTATAATGATGTCAAGTGAGATATGGAGCATATGCTAACCCACAATGTTGTGAGAGGCATTAAAAAGATATCTCGTAAGTATAAAAAAACACATATATACCTAAGTAATTCTCCTCCTTCGTCACATATTGCACATATTGGCTCAGTACCATCACCATCATCGCCGATTATGTTGCCATCACTATCTGTATCGCAATTGCCTTTACCCCCACTTGCAAGAGGCTCAGCAACAACAATGAATGACTCCTTGGTGCTCAGACTCCTTAATATGCACTAATTTTCATATGAAAAGTAACAACATTTAGACAAGACATGAGAAATTTCGAAACACCATGTAAACAATGGTGTGATAATAAAGCTTAAGAAGGTTTGAAATAATGTGTATTTAGCCTGCATGCCAAAAACACTACGCATCCAAAGAAAGCTCCAAACTATGAACTTAGATACCTCAAAGTATTTCCCAGAAGTGTCATTGATAAAGCTTTGCAGAACCTGTATGTGCAGAAAGGAAAAAAAATCATGTATCAATTGAAGCATAGTGGAATTTTGTAAATGGGAATGCAGACACGGCAAGCAGCATACAAATGGACACTAAAACAAACGGCAATGCATAGCCCATACCTGTATATGAAAGGATGTTGCAATACTACTTTTTCATTAAAGCTAACTGTTTCAATGACTAGTGCTGTGCAGTTCCACTTTGGTTGTGTCAGTCAACGTGACGGCAACAATTTGTAACACGCCAGCCCAACAGGTACAGTCAGATTTGTTTCAAAAGGTCAGTTTAACTCCTAGCTGTTGGATCAATTCTGTAACAACCTGATCAAGTTGACAGCTCTAGACATTGGTAAAGTCAAACCTTCCAGTCATTGACTATAAATATCTTCAGAAACATTTGGCTTATGCACTAGACAATCATATGCATAAATTTGTCTCACAAACCACTCCACAATATTAACTGTATTAGATCTTATAGTATGTTAAGATACAAATTACTGATAAGATTTATATTTTGGATATTGTGTCAATGTTCAAACAGACAACTGTTACGGAAAAGGGGGGAGTATAACCTAGCTACCCACCATAGAGCCTCAGCATCGCCACTATGAGAGAAGATGATTATCTATAGAGCACATATAGGGCAGGCAGCAATTTTGTTTTAAAAAACGAGCGGATTTCTAGCACTTGGTTCAATTCCTCCATCATCTGAATAGTGTTGGCAAGCAACGTGCCTGCTCTTGCATTGATAGCACTAACCGAAAAAGGAGGGATATTGTGATAATAGCAGCCTGGCACCGTCAACCTCTCCCTCAGGCATCAACTGCTCTAGCCGGTGCCGACATTGACTGCCTAACGGCTAACATACCAAAACATAACTTGATATAGTCCGCATCATCACAAAAACAACCTCCGACATTCAATGCCCTCCTCTGAACTCGCTGCTAGACCGAACTTTAAACACCAACTGTTACCGAAATTGGTATTGCTAAAATCACTTCTCTATTCCTCTGAAGAAGATATACACATGCAGCTACATGGGCCCAATGGGCTCTCTTGTACTGTTATACAGAAACAAGATATACATCTAAGTTATACACATGGGTTAGAAACATAGTTTGAGAACATTAAGTCTATGTTGTTCTCCAGTCTGAGCCTTGGTGAAGAAATCTGGCATTTGAAGCTCCGATAGAACATACTGGAGAAGAATAGTTGACTATTGGCAGTGAGAACACATGAACAATGCATCCACGCCAATGTGCTTGGTTAGCTGATGCTTAACTGGATCATTGGCAATCTGAATAGCAGCGGTGCCGTTACAAAGGAGCGAGGTGGGTGCATCACATCTATGAAGCACCGATACGTCAAAAACTGGTGTGTCCCCGTACGGGACGGCACCAATACACATTATACGGCACCGATACGAGTATCTCAGTGATAACGTGATTTCCGATTTAAAAAGAAAATAAAATAAATCCGATACGCCGTCAACACGTCGGAGATACAGAATGACGGGAGCACAGCCCGAGCCCAGTAGAAGCCCACTCCTAACACTACACAGGTACCCACCGGTCCTCATCTCCTCGATCGAAAGACCAGCGACTCGATCTAGTCCCGCGACGAGGTCCTGTGCACGCGCCGCCGCGGCTGCCTGGAGTCGCCGCCAACGCTAGCCATGTTTTTTCATACAGTTCCTGAGTTGCTGCTGACCAATGCTCGTAAAAAAAGGTTGCTGCTAACCTGTAGTTGTTGCTGGCGCTAGAGAGTTAAAGGCATGCTTGCTGAGTGTTATGTGCCAAATTGAAAAAAATGCTAATACTATCATATGACGTATTTTGCATGCACCACGAAGATTGAGGATATTGATGATCATTTCCGACTTAAAAGAGGCATGGAGACAACCAGTGGGGCAGTATTATGATCCCATCCCATGCAGTCAATTAGTATTTTTGTCTTTATTGCATGTTATTTTATTAATTATTTATATATACTCGCAGTATCGTCGTATTGTTGTTCCTAGAAATTGTCGTATCCTGTATCCCCGTACCCATATCCACGTATCAGTGTCACTGTATGGGTGCTTCATAGCATTACATGACACACCAAGATCAGCAAGGAGCCAACGAAGCCAAACAATCTCTGATGTGGTAGTGTCTAGGGATCAAAGTTCAGCCTCAGCAGTGGAATGGGAAACTGCAGTCTGTTTGCAATGAGAGAAGTGCCAAGAAAGAGACAGTAGCCGGTGACATTGCAACGATCAACAGGATCACTCGCCCAAGTGGAGTCAGAGTAGGCATGAAGCTGGAGCTGATTGGAGCAAGCATAGAACAACTGACAAGAAGATTGGAGCTGATTGGAGCAAGCATAGAACAACTGACAAGAAGATGTCCCCCTCAAGTATCAAAGCACATGAAGTGACTAATGAATTGAGGTAGGAGCACTGACAAACTGACCCAAAATGTGGACAGCGTGTACAATGTCAGGTCTTGTCACAGTGAGATAGCCAAGACTGCCCACAAGATGACGATAGTGAGAAGGATCCTCAAGGCGAATTTCATCACTAGGACGCAACTGCAAGTGGAGCTCCATTGGGGTAGGAGCAGTGCGCGTATCAGAAAGAGCTGAGCGGGAAACCAAATCTTGAGTGTAGCGATGCTGAGAGAAATAGTAACCCTCCTCAGTATGGCCACATCTTGCATTGCTCGCTAAGTTTTTTCTTGACAAAGGCTTGTATTTCTGACCATCCCTGAGTTTGAAGGGGGATGTTTAAGAGTATAATTCAGATGATACCAGCTGCAGCACAATGACTAGAAAGCAGACAGCAACAAATTGCTGCGGCGGCAGAGCTCGGCCTGGACTCGCGTGGCTGGGGTGACGGATGATGGCAGCGGCGACGCCCAAGTCTGACCTGGAATAGCGCAGCTGGGGCGGCAGAGGATGGCGTTGCTGCACACTCTGACTCACCCGAGTCAGACCTGGACTCGCACGAACGCGATGGGGACGGCTGCCAGCAACTCGCCGGCGACCGCGACGTACGGGAACCTAGGTCTATGGTGGAGATGGCATAGCTCTGTTACCATGTTAACAAAACTGGAATTGGCAAAATCACTTCTTCTCTATTCCTTTGAAGAAGATATACATGCAGCTACATGGGCCCAATGGGCTTTCTTCTACTGTTCTACAGAAACAAGATATACACCTAAGTGTAGCTTTCTTCTACTGTTCTACAGAAACATCAACAACTTAAATCATCACACAACTCACTAGAGCCGAGAACCTCAGGAGCCAGAAACACAAGCGGGAACGGAGCATCAGGCAAAATTGACAATTAGAATGTGACTATCTTTCCAAAGAGTACATCCAGTTGTTTATAGAAAAATGTCTTTTTTATTGCTGACCATTAAATCAGCAACAACGGCTCAAGAGGACTTAGAACTTAGCTTGACAAATATTTTAAACATACAAAAATAGTAAGTCCAAGTAATACTAGCTTGCCAAAGTTCGAGTAGTTTAGAGCTCAGCTCGACAAAGTGTGGTGTCAAAAAAAGGAATCATATGAAAATAGAGCGAGCTCAACAGAGTTTACAAACTGAACAACTACATTCGATACAGGAAAGTTTGATATCCACACCTTTGACCTCATTAAAGCAGGATCCCTCTCTGCACATCGCTTGATTATGTGATGGTGTTTCCCTAAAGCATTCTCCATCTCTTCCGTTTCAAATTTACTACAAATGAGCATCCAAAATGCAAAACTTATGAGCCCATAGCTAGCGTTAGCCAAGAAAAAAATTTATGTGGACAAAATACCTGAATACTTCACGAAGGTGAACAGAAAGACTTATCATCGGTTTTCTGGGTTGCCTTTTGACAAAGTGGAGCATTTGAACTGTCGTTAATGCTGATCGAGCAAACTTCCAATAGATTTTTCGTGGTTTCAATAGATCCAATTCTATCCAATAGCCCTCACTTGAAAGCACTGAGATCTTTGGCTGCTCACGGTTAAGTGCTACTGTCCAAGCTACAACCTGCTTGTATACCGCAGGGGCGCCATCTGTGGAATATCGACGCAAGTAGATACCCTTCCCGGAGACTTTATCATTTTCATCAAACTTAAGGGGCAAGGTGCTGAAACAAACAAACTCGTTCTTGGCTTTCACAAAATAGTAGTTGTCAACGACCTTCAGTTGTGGCTCCGCATCATCATCATCGTCAAAAATTGTCATTGCAAGATTCTAGCAGAGACAAATCTGAGTCTCACTGGAGTCACTGGAAACACAGAAGTAAATCAATGATAAGTCACAAATTAACCTTAGAACATAATACCAATGCAAAGCAAACCACAAACCAGGAAAGGAAGGAAACCATCTTTTTATTAAAACGGTAAGGAGTGAGGACAGATCTGAGTATAGTAGAAAATGAATGATCAACTCTTGGGCCATATGAATGCTGGGGAACTGTGGAAACCAGTAAGGGATTGTTTGGTGTTCAGGGGAAAGGGCAGGACCCTAGCAAATCCATGGGTAGCTCCCACCCATGGAAACTTGCATCAGGGTTATCTGCCTGTGTATTTGGTTAGAATCGGATCAGGGGAGAGGAGAAATTTGGCCCAGTCCCTCTCATATCCCCGAGCCAGAAATAAACGCCTCCCGACTCGTGGACAAATTCTCGCGTGTCTCTCGCTCCCTCCAACGCCAACTCTGGGCATGGGCTCCATCACTCCACCCCACCTCGTGCCGCCGCTCTTGTTGCGTCCGCAGCTGCCCTCCATGGCTCCATGCCATCCCGTTTCGCTGAGACGCAGAAGAATACGCTGACATTGACGAGCAGTTGACCACATGGCCGCTGACGCAGTTGACCACATTGATGAACAGTTGACCACATGGCGCAATCCATTCCTAGTGAATCAAGCTGAGCGAACCCGCTGAAGCTGTCCGTCTCATCAACGGGGATCGGCGAGCACAAGCACACACTCATGGTGATTGGCTCCGACACAGCAAGAATAATGAGATGGACGAGCTCTGGCATCATCGTGGGGAAACTAATATTTATGGTATTGGCAGGCAACAGGCGTCAGGCGGCAACATCAATCTGCTCGCCGAAGATGAAGCTCCATTGTCGATTGCGTGACCAATCAGCACAGGCAGTCAAGACGAGTCCCTGTTTTGCTTTTCTCTTTTGTTTAGGGAAATCACAAACTACCGAAGGGGTAATCCCTTTAACCCCACTCCGAGAAGCGCCAGCATTCATATGGTCCAAGAGTTGATTATTCACATGGTAATCCCTTGGCCGGAGAAAGAGCATGGCAGTTTCTTTTTCCTGACGCATCAGAATCCAGGGGGTTTTCCCCTCCAGTGAGGGATCCAGATCCTCTAACAAAGGGAGGGAAGCTACAGTACCCCCTGACTTCCCTTCGCTTGATTTTCCTAAACTGCAATCTAATACGATGATTTATGAACAGCAGTTATCTACAGGGATCTATGAACAGTAATGAATATACAGTGAATCCTGTTCCTCTGACTTCCCTTCGCTTGATTTTCCTAAACTGCAATCTAATACGATGATTTATGAACAGCAGTTATCCACAGGGATCCTGTTCCTCTGACTTCCCTTCCCCGTTTTACACAGAGGGGGCACTGCCTCCTCCAAGTCAGAGGATCCAGTCATCCTGAACTGTGAAGTCAGGAAATTCTGTTCTAAACTTTATACGAGAGATGAGACGAACCGTAAGCCCCTTAGCGGTTACTAAAAAATCCATTCACATCTAGTAATATTTTGCAAGATAAAAAATAGCAGAAAGTGCGAGAACAGGCCCTAGGAATCCCAGAACACGTTTCGAGAAGAAATATCCAGACTTCGCAAGATGATCCCGCCAAGATAAGCGTCTTCTTCGAAGAAAACCATCAAAAATTAGAACAGATCTGACTAATAACACGCTTGGACAGAAGGCAGCCGCTAACAACCAAAATCGCCGCAGTTTGACTTCGCAAAGACCCCAAGAAACGACCAAGAACGCAAAAAAACGACCAAGAACAGTGCTCGAGAAGGTGGTACTGGTACAGATCAGGAGGAACCGCCACCCACATTGGTCGCCAAGAACTAAAATCGCCGCATTTGACTTCGCTTAGACGCTAAGAAACGACCCCCGGAAAAGAAACGGCCACGAACTCCGGGAAAAAAAGCGACCAAGAACAGTGGTACTGGAATAGATCGAGAGAAACAGCCCGGCGGATGAATCGAGATGAACCGGATCGTACCCACAAGCTACAGGGAGGCCTCCCCTTCTGGATTCCGAGCGCAGAGCACGTAGCGCAGAAGGAGGTGGGGAGGAACCGCAGCCGACGACACTGGGGGGCGGGATATGGTGGGGAAGGGTGCGAGCATAGCGCAAAGGATCCAACAGAAACCGCATGCAGGACGCGTGGCTGCACGGGACTTATCTCTCCGTCTGGGGCGTTCAGTCGCCTGGCTGACATGTAGACCAGCCTGTTGGCGGACCTACATATCAGTCGCTCCGAAGCTATGTGACTTTAGTTAGGAAAAAATTCATTCATTAGCCCGGGACTCTCGCACGCTGCAGCGGGGCTATACGAACGGTCACATCACGCAATAAAGGCATGTGCATGTTTTTATACAATTTGGACTTTTGCAAAAGCTAGTATCGTTGGTTGTAATGGGAGTATATATATACTACATATCATGCGTATAATACTGATACTACATCATTAATGCAAGGGTTCCTGAATATAAATCTTTTAAAAGATTCTATAATATGAACTGCATACGAAGCAAAATGAATGAATATACACTCTAAACTACGTCTATATACATCCATACATAGTTCATATTAAAATCTTTAAAAGGACTTATATTTAGAAACGAGGGAGTATATTAGTATATGTAGTATTTTATTTATTGTCATGCATGATATATACTCTAAAGTTATGATATGGAGTAACAGTGTAACATTTATTATGATACGGTATCATGATATGATACTCAACCTTTTCTTTTTTCATTTAATTTTATGACACCTCATCAAAATTGCCTATGGCATGCATGATACTAACTATAATACTTCCATTACAACTAGTCATATACGTATAGTTGGGGAGGTTTGTCGTCAAACTTATTTATGACAAACTTTACAAATTTTGCATTTTTCTTAAAATGATGAAAGGGCATCCTTCCGCATCTATCCACGAACGGGGGCAGTCCATGGACACAAATGTGGGAGGCCGCTTCAACGTTGTTCACATACATTTCAACCCGCATTTGAACTAACTGCAAGAAACTCATGCAAACCGGCCGATATTCATTAAAGTTCTGATAGAACAAATCAACCATACATCTCAATTCTTGATTTGTGCCGGAATAGGAGGCTTCCCAGATCGATCTGAATGCTGACCGTCCGATCTGTGGGTCCAAGCTGACGCATCGTGATCCTGTCCGTTCGTTGGCTCCAATTATGATTCGGTGTGGTGCTCCTCCCGTTCGCCCCTCTCGTTTACAGGTGGGACCAGAAGCGCCAACATGGGTGCCTCTCCTCTTGCTGGGTGCATGTTTGG